TCGAGATCGAATCAAATTTTAAAAAAAATGAAAAACCGAATTTGTTTTAAGAAAATCTAAAATTTTCTTTAGAAAAACTTGAACCGAACCCGAACTGATTCGCACGTAATATAATGACTGATTGATACATATTTTTGTAGAATCGAAAGAATCGAACCGAATTATTCTAAAATCGAATACCGAAACGTCCACAGCTACAGTAGGAAAGCCTGTGTACCCATTAAGATACGTAGACGAACCGTCTGGATATTACAGACTCTTTTTCGAAAAAGATTACGTTGATTCGACTGGGGATGCATGCGAGAGTCATGGCAAAAGCAAGCTTAAACTTGGTCTTGAGATTTAGATCGAAGCTGGCCCACGCTATATTCCTTGGGATTCTCTCCCATAAAACTCGTGGAGAGGATTGTTGCGTTAGTCCAATCAAATAACATTCTTTATATATTTTTTTTTGTTGAAAAAATACGTGAAATTTTCTGAATTTATAATTTGGTGTAATATTAATTTCTGAATTTGTAGGTGAGTCTATTTATTCTTCAACTTATATTTTTTAACACAATAATTCCTAAACTTGCATTTTGGAACACACTAATTCTTAAATTTTGCTTTGATCAATGAGTGGTATGGACGATTATAAAACAAAATAAGTTTAGGAATTACTGTGTTTAAAAATGCAAGTTCGGGAATAAATAAGTGCATCTACAAGTTCATGAATTAATATTACATCAAATTACAAATTCATCAATTTTCAGGTATTTTTCTCTATTTTTTATATCAAATAATATTTTCTAGGGATTTTTTTTTGTATTTACAAAAAAATATATAAAATTTCTAAATTAACATGAGATCACTACAATTTGGTACGAAATAGAAGGGGAAAAGTCAAATAAAATGAACAAAAGCCCCTTTATCTCTTCTTGCATTGCATGTCAATATTATTAACATTGTTGCGAAGCTTATGGACAGAATTGGATGTGTAGCAAATGATATTCTACAAATTGCATATAGATAATAGGGCAATTTGTGTATGAAAAAAAAATATAAAATATGTTTAATACGGTTAAATTGATTCAAATAAACAACCCCAATGATTTCTCTTTAAAACAGCAGAACGATATTTTATATATTATTAGACAGATCGCTAAGTTTATTTTTGTAAATGATAAATGGTTTTGTTATACCTATGATTGCATATACATATACCTATATGTGTGTATGCATATACCGAATATTTACAAATTTGTTTGTGATATATACTTTGAATTTCGACGGTCCATATCATAATGTAAACATGCGTGAAAACTCGAAATTGTTTTTGTAACATTAAAATAATTGGATCATACCAACTAAAACATGATTAAATAAAAACATAAACATGGTATCTAATTAGGTTACTTGTTTTAAATTGTATATGAGCAGTCAATCATAGTGAGCTATAAAAATCTATTAAAGATATAATGATAGTCTAATACACAATTAACGCTAAAGTTGATGATAGTTTGTGGTCAATGTTAATTTGACTAATTAAAAAATATAATTAGTCGAGACGATATCAATATGGAATCGATTTATATAATTAAGATCCACGCAATTCCGAGTTAATTATCATTAGACTAGCCATTAGATTCTAATCATTTTAATTATCATTAGTCATTTTAAAAAATATAATATAGTTTTTTTTTGTAAAATAAATATTCACTTACTTAAAAGATGTTCAAAATATGGTTTGAATCCATTAGATTAGATGAATAAGAATCCGAACTATTAAATCACGGATCTTATTCTACCGGTAATATACATATAATTCTAACGCATTGGAACATATATATATTTTTGGTTTATTTGAACATATATATTGATTGTGATTATGTCTATTATGTTATAGTTAATTTTAATTATCATGTATTGGATTAAAGAGAAAATTCACTGATTCTTTACGATCGTAAGGTTCTCATTCAATTGAAAGAGAAATCTTACTATATTGCCATTGAACCTATATTGATATACTTTAACGAATGTTAAACGATGAAAATACAATATATATAAAAAATAAGTGTAATCGAGATGAAAAATTACGATGGATGCATAGATACATAATAATAATAATATATGATTTAAAACGATAGTATTACACACATTAAAGATGGTATCTAGAAGAGAAATTATAAAAAAAGACGTTTAAACTGGTTAGATCGGTACGTCGTGTTTATAAATTTTGAATGATTTAATTCAAAATCAAAATGGATAGAAGAAAAGGATTTAAACAATCGATCCCGAATAAATTTGAGATTATAGAGTTAGTCGTTGTACAAATATATTGGATTGAACATCTATATATGATTCATTCGTTGGAAATGAAAGGTTCAAATAAATTATGTTAATGAATATATATTCTTTTACATTTTCCTTGTTTATTACATTTATCTTATATTTTGCATGTTTAAATAAAGTGTATGGGTTGATACATGGCATGATGATGATAATTGATAACCCCTCTTGAGAGTAACGCATGCGCAAAAGCCAAGGCGACGTGGGCCTATTCCCACTTGTTTCCTCAATGTGTGCTTTTGTGGGCCATTCTTATTTTCCCACTCAAACATCTTCATCACCAATCAAAGGAGAATTCAAAAAATAAAAATAAAATAATAATAATAATAATAATAATCAACTAGCCGACAAAAACCTTAAATACACATTTTAACTAATGTCATAAATACACATATATAGAACTTGAATTTTATCTTCGTAGTTTATGAGTTTTAAATATTGATTAATAGACCAAATAAAATAAAATTATCAGTAGCGAATGTTTTAAAATATATTATTCATATATCATGCTTTGATAAGAATATATATAATTTTTAGTTTTATTTTATTTATGTAATAAGTTTCTTGTTGACTCCAAGTCTACAAGTGAGTGAGATAGGAGGGTCCTTTCGGCATCTAAGTTCAAAATTTGCGGCTGCTTTGCGTTTATTACGTTTGGGGAGTGGAAGGAACTTCTCAAGGTTCAATCATTCATATTCTCATGCACATGACATGGATGTCGCCTCAAAGTTATAACAGTTTTGTAATTTTGAATTGGATCCACTTGGTATGATAAAATGCCCTAAAACCATATATATATATATATATATATATATGTTCCATATCATACATACAACAACATTGATCAAATAGATCGCTAAGGAATAGAAAGGAGAAAAAAATCACAAAACGAACTTTATCGAATTAAGATTATATTCTCTATTTTTCTTTTATGTTTTTTTTTTTGTTATTTCTTTCATTTTATCGGTTTGCAATCTACCGGTTTGGATTGAAAACGAGGACGGTGTCAAGTTAAAATCATGAGCGAGATCTAACGCTCCTTCTATTTCTTAATAATTGATGTTATAAATAATATTTCTTGTTATTAAACACATGTAATTTTAGATTTTTTGGATAAATTTTTAAAATAATTCTCAATTTTACTTTTAGTTAAAACTACCCAATTATAATAAACTATTCCTGAGAATATAGTTTTTATATTTATTTAACTATTAAATAATGGTATATATATACGATTTTTTAAATATATTTAAAAAAATTAAAAAATCAATTATTAAGAAACAAAAGAATATATTTTAAGATGTTTTTTTTATAATTGGACATTTTAAATCAAAGTCGATGAAAATTTTACAGATTTGGATATACACATGCATTCAACTTAACCACGATATTCAGGTCGCGGATATCTGAGTCTGGTGAAACTAAGACCGAGATAACATCTCTAAAAAACATGTGAAAACGAAAATGGAACGAGCTATCTAATCTGAATACTCGACCGTTTCTTTCTCGAATTTCTTGTGTTTTATATTAAAAAAAAAAGTAGCTTGACATTAGAGCGTGGGCATTGGACATTTCAAATTTGAGTTCTGTTTCCGTTTAATTATTATTGTTTTTAATCTCACTTTTTTATTTTTAGAAACATTGTAACCTTGATTTGAAAATCTTGATTTCATTGGAAATACTATGCTTTATTTATTGGAATTTTCGGATTATGTTCATATTAAATTGTCCAACTCTATTCATTGGAATTCACTGGTTCAAGAAAATGGTTCTATTCAACCCTAGTTTTTTTTTTCATTTATTTCCGAATTGAAATTTCGATCCTAAAAATCTTTCGTCAGTTGGGCTGATATTGAAACTGTTTTGGGCTGTCTAATTTTGTTCAGAAAGGCCCACTTTACAGAATAATAGCCCAAATATTTTACACTTACTTTCTCCCCAGAAACCTAAAAAAAAGGGCAAAAAAAAGGAGGAGAAATTAATAATCTTTTACCGGTTCCAAAAGGTTGCAGAATAAATAGTAACTTCCATTAAAATTTTTAAAATTGTAAAATAATGGAAATTTAATTACTAAACTTTTTATTTTATAAATTTATTTTTAAACTTATAAAATATATTATTATAATTTCTAAACCTATAAAATATATCATTATTATAATTTTCAAACAAATTTATAAATAAATAGCGTCAAGATTTTTTGTGATATTAATTAATAAGTTTGAGAATTATAATTATATGTTTTACAAATTTGAATATAAATTTATCAAATAAAAAATTTAGTAATAAATTTTTTTCCATTCAAAAATTTTAGTGGATTTTACTCTAGAATAAACGATAAAAATATAGAAATATAACAAATCTCTGTCAATGGTAAATAAATTTATTAACTAGAAGGTGTTAATTTACAATTATGCATTTCTTTAATTTTGGTAGAAAAGTGGACTCTCTCATTCAATATATATATATATATATATATAATGTTTTTTTTACATGGTGATATTGACGGTAACAAATATTATATTATACACAATCTAATCAGTAAATCACATTGACCGTTTCCGGGTGAACACAAAACGGCGTCATATTAGATTTTTTTTTTTTGTTGAGAAGAAAATTAAAAATAAAATGCCCATTTTGGTCCAATGGCGTAGGGGTGGCTTATTTGGTTAATACGACTCGTCTCTCTCTCTCTCTTTTCTCTGTGGCCTAAGGGCTTTGTTTCCGCGAACGAGCGAAACCCTAGATTCGGCCATATCCGTCAAGACAAGAAGATGCTGCGAGCTGCAGGGAGGAGGTTTTTGTCTCTCTCGCAGAGATCTTCGACTGCGTCTTCCTTCGCCCTCTCTCGAAACCTCCCCAGCTTCGATGGCGGCGACGCCTCTTCCTTCCGCAGATCTGAATCTTCTCCTGATCCGTTCTGTTTCAATTCCGACCTCCAAAGCCTTATCAGAGGTTTTTTGCTCTTTGCTTGGATTGATTTGGGTTGTGGAACTTTTTCTGTGGTTTTGTCGTTCGATTGATTTGAATGTTTGATATCATATGCTTTTCGACATAATTGAGATTTTTTTTTCTATCGGTATGCTTAGAATCTGATTTAGGGAATCAAATCTCCTGTTTATCGATTGCAACTTCCACGAATCTGGGGTAAAGTATGCTACTTTTATTATATTGGAATTTGAACATCATCTGGCTTTCGCTCGTTTCATGTTCACTAAATCTTTCACGAATTGATCTGATTTGTATCACCTTTGATTTGATTGATATCATAAAACTGGGTTTCCATGGCTTCTGCTACTTTCAAAATCCTCCTGGATGTTGCAGTTTTGTTTGTCTTTTGTGTTTATGCATTCATTCATTTCCAGAGAAATGAAATGTTTATCCTCTGTGGATCAATCCCTGTTAAGTTTTTATATTCTTGGTCTGGACTCTAGAGCATCTGGAATAGCCAAAAGCTGTTTTAGAGGGAAATATGTCAGTCAGTGCTTATTGAAAGAGCTCTGTGTTCAATTAGCTATGGAGATTCTCTATCTTCTGTATGCTTGTTGTCTGTGATGCACCTGGTCGAGTAATGGCGGCTTTCATAAGGAACCGTTCAGTCTTTTGATATGAAATTGTGAATTCATGATCGAGACTGAGTTTGGCGGAGGATGGTTTGTTTGTTTGTTATATTTCTATCTCATACATTTTCTTTTTTCTTGAAGAATTGGATTGAAAGTTCAGATCTGGATGGGATGGTTGTCATGTTTCTTGGTTTTGTCAGGGTTCTCTTCTCAAGCCATCAGCCAAGGACAGGAGGTAGGTTTCATTTCCGACATCCCCGCAACTGTCGAAGCTGTCAAAACTCCAAACTCGAAGATCGTCTATGACGAGCACAATCACGAGCGCTACCCGCCTGGTGACCCGAGCAAGAGGGCATTCGCCTATTTTGTCTTGTCGGGCGGGAGATTTGTGTATGCCTCTGTGATCCGGCTTCTGGTCCTTAAGCTTGTCCTGAGCATGTCAGCCAGTAAAGACGTCCTTGCCCTCGCATCCCTCGAGGTTGATCTCTCCAGCATCGAGCCAGGAACTACCGTCACGGTCAAGTGGCGAGGGAAACCCGTCTTCATCAGGCGAAGGACAGAAGACGACATCAACCTAGCCAACAGCGTGGATCTGGCTTCTCTCAGGGACCCGCAAGAAGACTCGGCTCGGGTCAAGAACCCGGAATGGCTAGTCGTGGTCGGAGTCTGCACCCACTTGGGCTGCATCCCTTTGCCAAACGCTGGTGACTATGGCGGCTGGTTCTGTCCGTGTCACGGTTCACATTACGATATCTCTGGCAGAATCCGAAAGGGTCCTGCTCCGTTCAACTTGGAAGTGCCGACCTACAGCTTCTTGGAGGAGAATAAGCTGCTCGTCGGTTAGTGTTTTCTGAAAATTCAGACAAATTGTCAAAGGTGAAGCTGTTTTGTTTTGTTCTTTATCGTTTTTTGATGGTGATGGCGACAAGGTTTGTCTTTGTTTCGACTGAATAATACAACTGCTCATTTGTTGAACAGATTCCTCTGTTTTTGTTTCAGAAAATCCGATATTCTCTGATTTAATGGTCTAATTTTATGGTAATCTAAGGAAAAGTAAGTCTCTGCTTTAAAAAAAAAAGGAAAATATCATATCAATTCCTATATTATTTTTTGTTATAATTTTAATATTTAAATTTGTATTTTTATGCATTTGAGTGACTGTTGGGAGTTACATGTCCGGATAAAACAATTGGTTTTAAGGGTCGTTTAGCTAACAAATCTTCCCAATCCTCGTCTTACTTAGCAATTCCATTTTGAGTTCAAATATATTTACTAATACGTAATTACTGTAAGACCTTTATATAATCCGTATATAAAAGATTTATATTATTCTTTTGTAAAACGATATAAATACGTGGCTGTCGATCTCTGTACATAATTAATTACAGTCTCATCTCATCTTACAATTATGTAAAAGTAGAACTGAATTAGATAATTCTTTGTAAAATAAAATCCAGATAAATAGCCCAAGGCCAAGGCCTTATTTTATTGATTTATACATATATATACAACGCAGCAAAAGAAAATTATTATAAATTTATATTTTTCC